TTCCTTAATCATCACGATATTAATTGGACCTCTGGTTTCCTTCATCTCCCTTTGTCCTATTGATGGGCTTCCAACTTTTGTTTGATTGCAGTGGCCACTTGTCAATCTTTTCTATAGTCTAGCCTAAAAGGCAATTTATGAGGATTAATGAAATAGACTTCACAACTTAGCATAGCAAGAAGAAGCTGCATATACATCCAGTGAATGTGGTCCCGTGGCAACGAGAGTAAAAGGAATTAGAAATTAGAGAGAGCACGAGATCAAACCGACCTGGAAACGAAAGAAAAATTAAACACTACGAACTCGCCGAAGGCTCAACCGTCAAGAGTTAACTGACACGTCACCATGTCGGCCGGCGCCAGCGTTACGCCCGTGAGCTCGATGGCAACCCCTGACTGGACCACGTCACGGTTTCGTGCTTCAAGGGTCGCCACGGTTGGCCCAGTGGAAACAAAATATGGCAAATAAAAAAAGAAAAAACTTTTTTTGGCTTCTCTAGGGTTAGGGTTTTCGGGAGAAAAATCCTGAGGGACAACTGCTTCGGCGAGGCGCCATGTCGCACACTCCGGGAGCGGTCATCAATGATCCCAGCGTGCCGCCAGATTTATGGACGGAGCAAATGCTCCGCGCTTGGAAGGTACATTGCGATTCTCTCGCCGATAGATCCATTCAATCCCAATCACTTCCTCGCAGCATGCCATCGATGCTGCCAAGCATTCCCCCAGGGACAAGAAATTCGTCAATCTGGATGATCTCCTGGAAGTCACGGGTATGTCTCGTCTTTTTTTGCGTTTTTCGTTTTGGCGGGAACGCGATTTTAAATTTCCTGCGTTTTTCTTCGCAGATCATACTGTCAGGCTTTCAAGTCCCAGATCTCTCCAGGCATGTCTCCATCTTGGAATTGATCCCAGCGAGGTGGTGTACAGGTATGGCGAGAAATCCAGCTATTTCTTTTCTTTCTGCTAGCTTCTTCTTATCTTTGCCCTTTGGAAACTTTCAAGGCCAATGGACACTTTCGCCGAGAGGGGAATGCGCCGAGAGTTCCAGCAGATAAAATACGACCACCATGAAACTCAAAGAAGAGGTGAGGTACAGACCCCTCCAATCTCGCATATCAAGTAATGGTTTGTGAATCGCCTAGCGACCTGAATGCAGAGAAGCTGCAAAGATTGAAAGAGGAAAGAGAACGCTTGATACGAAAGTCCGACGAGGACAAGTCGCGAGCTTCTGCTGCATCCGAGAAAAGGCGCAAGGGCGGAGGGGATAGAGACCTTATGGACAGGGTAAAAACTCCAAGTCTTGTTTGCTCGGGGAATCGACTTACGTGTAGCGATCACAGCCCAGTCGGCAGTACTCACTCTTTACTACTATCGCGATCGTCACTCGTTTTGTTTAAGGTTAATTGAACAAGCTCTGTCCTAGTACTTTGCAGGATAGAAAAAGAATTGAAGCACTCCGTCGAAGGCAGCAGCGAGAGATGGAGCAAATGGCCAAGTACGAAGCTCAAAGACAGGTCTGTGATTTCCAGTGATTTGTTGCATCTTACTGTTTCCGTAAACAGCAAATGGCCGATGAGAACCAAGCACGGGTTGAGGCGGAAAGGAGGACTGCGGAAAGAAAGGTATTTGAAAATCAAAAGCAGTAGCATCACACGATAATTTTCGTAACTTTCTTCTGGACAGAAAGCTGAAA